TTCTTTTTCTTTTACATCCAGAAATCATAAGGCTTCCTAACCCTTCCAACTATGTTAGCAATGCAGAGTTGAGAGGTCAGCCTTCTGCGTTCAGCTCCAGGGACACGTTTCCCATCCATGTGCAGCATGCATTCCTGACCCCTGCCCTGCAGCCAAAAAGGGACATCAGCTGGGCTCAGGGAAATTCAATTTGGGCTGACAGCCGGCGGCATGATAATGACAGGGCATCTGTTTGACATTTGGAAAGGCAAAAGAGGGAAGAGGCGTCACAGAGGTTTCTCATGGGCTTGGCTGAGGAGGGTCTAAAGTTTCGGTCACTTCTTTTCTACATATGGAGAAAAACCTGAACATAAGGCCAACTGATTTCTACTGCTGGCTCAAAATTTAGAATTCAACTCCACTTCCATGTGCTGTGCTCCTGTCTCTCTGATGGTATTTGGGGTGAATAAAGGAAACAGGTCTTGTTCTTTATTCCCTTGGACTTGAGTTTTCCCAGGGATGACAGCTGCATTGCTGTGGACTGTGATTTTATTCATTCATTCATTCATTCATTCACTTATTTATGAGAATTTTGTTGTTGTTGTTGTCATTGTTGTTGTTGAGAAAGAGTCCCGCTTTGTCACCCAGGCTGGAGTGCAGTGGCACAATCTTAGCTCACTGCAACCTCTGTCTCCCAGGTTCAAGCGATTCTCCTGCCTCAGCCTCCCAAGGCACATACCACCATGCCTGGCTAATTTCTGTATTCTTAGTAGAGACAGGGTTTCGCTGTGTTGGCCAGGCTGGTCTCAAACTCCTGGCCTCAGGTGATCCACCCGCCTTGGCCTCCCAAAGTGCTAGGATTATAGGCATGAGCCACCATGCCCAGCCCACATATTTATTTTAAATAAGAGGTCCCTGTCCACACGTCTTGGTAAGTGAAGTCTCTGTTCCTGCGATTCCCTTGTCTGCTATTGAACTCACAAGGGCGGCAAGTGCCTACCCCATGGAACATCAGGTAAGTTCACAACTGTGACAGTGACAAGAAAAGCTGACCCCTTCTTATGCCAGTTAAGCAAGGGATGGGGAGAACTGCTTTATATTTCTTGATATGGCCCTCCTGTGGTCAGCTTACCCACTGATGTGGGAACTTTTCCCCCATCTAAGGAGTTGGTTGAGAGACACATCTATGTTATTTTAGCAGATGAGCCTGTGGGGCTGGGTTAGCTTCCATGCCCCTCCTGTGGCCCCAGGGCATCCCACACTGAACCTAGCCTGGTGGCTGCTAATCTGAATGGCATTTACCTCTTTCCTTTTCCTCTAGATAAGAAGCCCCATGAGGGCAGGGTCATGTCTACAGCATGCACCTTTGTATCCCACGCATCCTAGCCAGGTTCCTGGCACATAAGTAATAAGCAGTTATGAATATAAGTTAGATGAATGAATGAATGAATCAATCAATCAATCAATCAATCAGAGGAATAATGGTGCTGGCCTTGTGTTACAGCTAAGAGCACAGGTTTTGGAAAATCAGGCGAGTGTAGTTTTCACTCATGCTCCACCACTTTCCAGCTACATGACATGTTTTTATTGACATATAAGATACATACACAAAATTATCTGTCACAAGTATGTCATGCAAGGAATTTTTACACTAATGAAACATCACCCAGATCAGGAAACAGCACATTAGCAGAACCGCAGAAACCTGCCTTATGCTCCCTTCAAGTCGCTATCCCCTACCCACCCAAGGGTAGACCATGGATGGCATCTGACCAGTTACTATCCTCTCTGATTCTTATCTTCTATTGGGAAAAACAGTACTTACCATGCTATGAGAATACAACTTAAAAATAATAATGGCATAGCAGTAATAGTAGTAGAAGAGAAGTAGTAGTAGTCACAACAGCACTAGCAGCAGCAGAAGTGACAGCAGAAGCAGTAGTGGTAACATTAGTAGAAGCAGCAGACATGGTAAAAGTATTAATAGTAATAATGGTAACAGAAGTAGCAGTAGTCATAGCAGAAGTAGCAGTGGCAGTAGTAGTAGAAGTACTAGAGAGATACTAGTAGCAATAGTAGTAGTCATAATGGCTAAAACTTATATAGCACTTACCATGTACCACGCACCATTCCAAGTGCTTTACCTTAACTCAACTAGTGCTCAAAACAACCCTTGTAAGTCTGCATAAAATAGGAGAGAACAGGAAGAAGCCAAGGCACAGAGAAGTCAAGTAGCTTTTCCAAGGTCACAGAACTACAAAACCACAGATCCAGAATGCAAACTCCAGCAGGCTGGCTGCAGAGCCTACCCTGTCAGCAGAATCCTCTAAGAACAAGTAGCGTGGCAAGAAAAGATCTGTCCTCCAGTATCTGCTCTCTTCTTCTATAATAACAACTCTCAATTTGGTAAGCACACAGTCATGCAGAATAAAGATTCCACTTCCCAGCTTTCTCTGCCGCAAAATGTAGCCAGAGAACTAAATTCTGGACAGTAGAATATAAGTAGGAGCAGGAGGTGCAACTTCCAGGAAACATCCTTAAAGGATGGGGCGTGCCTTTCTTCATCTCGTTCTTTCCTCCTGCTGTTAGATGTGATGGCTAGAGCAGAAGCAGCTAAAATGGGGCCATGAGGTGACCTTGGGAATAGAGGCTCATATGACAGACAAACGAGAGAAAAAGCCCAGGTCTCTCATAGATTGCTGTAGAAAATCTGTACTACTTGTACCTGAACTTTTAGGTAAGAGAGACACTTCTCTAAGCCAATGTTCTTTTAGATTTTATGTCATTGTTAGCAGAACCTGATTCTAATAATGCACTGAGTTATTGCAATTATAATTAATATCACCTAAAAAGATACCTGCAAAATGAATGCCATTTTGTGCTGGACTCGACTTATAAAAAGAAAAAAACAAAATAAACATGACTTTGGGTAATCCTATAATAGACAAATTTTGAAAATAAAAGTAAAGCTTCATTTACCCTGGAAGGCGGTATCATGCCTGAATCATATCAAAATCTCTCAGGTTGACCTCTCTGCCTCCAGCCTCTCACCTCACCCACCCATTCAGGACACATTTGTTTATCTAATCATCCTTTAAAAACTATTTTCAACCTAAAAATTTAAGTAATTACAATGCCCTATGTGCCTACTTTATGTAAAACACTTTACTATACATTTTTTCTAAACTACACCAAAAAATCTGAAACATAAATATTACCCCTTTTTCAAGGATAAGAAAACAGAAGAAACAGAGAAAGTCAGTGTCTTTTTTTTTTTTTTTTCCAGGCCGGAGTATAACGGCGCAATCTCAGCTTATCTCAACCTCCGCCTCCCGGGTTCAAGAGATTCTCCTGCCTCAGCCTCCCAAGTAGCTGGGATTACAGGCACCCGCCACCACACCCAGCTAATTTTGTATTTTTAGTAGAGACGGAGTTTCTCCATGTTGGTTAGGCTGGTCTTGAACTCCCGACCTCAGGTGATCCGCCCGTCTTGGCTTCCAAAAGTGCTGGGATTACAGGCGTGAGCCACTGCGCCCGGCTGAAAGTCAGTATCTTGTGTGAGATCACACAGCAAGTCAGTGCCAGGGCCAGGATTCAACCACCCCTTCTAGCACCCACACACTTTCCACCACGTGGACTTCTTAGAAACCCAGGCCCCAATAGGTCAACCCTGTGCCAGTCAGTCTGCCAGCTTTTTAAGATTCTCAGACTCTACAAGTTTTCCCGGCCTAGCTTTTCATGGTTCTTCCTGTCCAGTCTAATTTTTATCATCCTCTAACACAAACTTTCATCCACTGAGGCCAGGCTCCTTAGACTCTTCATCATGTGTCCCTACACCAGGCCTCAGTATTCCCAGCTGCAAAATGGAATAAGTCATACCTCTACCTCTCCCAAGAGGTGACATGGCATAGTGTATTTAAAAAAAAAAATACAAGGGTCCTGCAGTAAGGGAAAATTGACTTACATCTAGCTGGGCAAGTTCTTTATCTGTAAAATGAATGTAGAAATTCTTTTTTTTTTTTAGATGAAGTCTTGTTCTTGGCCCCCAGGCTGGGGTGCAGTGGCGTGATCTCAGCCCACTGCAACCTCTGCTTCTGGGGTTCAAGTGATTCTCCTTCTTCAGCCTCCCGAGTAGCTGGGATTACAGGCGCCTGCCACCACGCCCGGCTAATTTTTTGTATTTTTAGTAGAGATGGGGTTTCACCATGTTGGCCAGGTTGGTCTCGAACTACTGACCTCAGGTGATCCACCCGCCTTGGCCTCCCAAAGTGCTGGGGTTACAGGCGTGAGCCACTGCACCCAGCCGAAAGTAGAAATTCTTACTTGGCAGGATTGTTGGGTGGAGTAAATGAAATTTTATTTTATTGTATTTTAAATTTTTAATTTTAATTTTTATTTTTGAGAGGGAGTCTCACTATGTTGCCCAGGCTGGAGTGTAGTGGCGCAATCTTGGCTCACTGCAACCTTCGCCTCCCGGGTTCAAGCAATTCTCCTGCCTCAGCCTCCCAAGTAACTGAGATTACAGTCACATGCTACCACGCCCAGCGAATTTTTATATTTTAGTAGAGACAAGGTTTCACCATGTTGGTCAGGCTGGTTTTGAACTCCTGACCTCAAATGATCCACCCACCTCAGCCTCCCAAAGTGCTGGGATTACAGGCTTGAGCCACCACGTCCGGCCTGAAATGTTTTTAAAGAACCTAAAACACAGTGGACTCCTATAGCACCTTATATTGTTGATGGTGTCACTGTTGTTGCTACTCTCGACTTCTTATAGGTACCACCACTCAGACAACTTTCCTGTAAAATAAAGGCAATGGATAATGTGACAGAAAACATAGTAGACAGACTACACCTGTACAAATGCTAGAGCTCTGTTCTCTGATAACAATCGTGCCAACAGTCTCTGTTAGATTCCAGTGCTTGTGTTTGATAAAATTCTGCATTTCAACTCCCAAGAAGAATCCCACTGTATCTCCCAGGCCAGGTTTTCTGGACAGGGTGGGCTACACATCACTCACCGATTCCATAGTGAATCTCTCGACGAAAAACTGGAGAGCCTGGAGGCTGAAGATCTCATGTCTCAGCCGTCACATCAGAAAATGACCTGGATGGGGGCAGGACAAAAAGGGGACAAGAGTCATCCAGTGAAACTGGGCAGAAGACATTGTCTCAGACCAACATGGGATTTCATTTGGAGGCCGCACCTTTGTCAGGAATGTTCTTGCACCACAGAGTGGCTGTCAGAAATATGAAGGAAACTACTATTTCAGCTTCCTACGGTGGGGCTGATACCTCCGTCATTGAATCTCTATGCAAGTAAGTGCTCAGGAATCCTTCCGGCATTCTATTTCTAGCTCTACGTTGGAGAGCAATTTACAAGTCATTAACTTCTCTAGACCTAGGCTCCTAAACATAAAATTAAAGGTGCTGATGGATGCAACAGACAGACAGACAGACGCCTGCAGCTGTGTGCCCACGAGAAAGCAAAAGTGTTCACCCAGCAAAGGAAATCAGTTCCAGGATGAAGGCAGATATAGATGAATACACATATTTCAGGACAGCCCCTCTGAACCTGGGAGAGGATTTTAATTAATTCATGCATACCAAAGCTTAATTAATTGCTGAGTGCACAGAGCACAGGAAGTCTGGGATAAAAGCTGTTACATAAGGGAACAGCTTCAATATTTGCAGAATAGAGGGAAACAGAGGTGGGGATATAAAAATAAATTGAGCCAAGGGACCTCCTTGGTTTTTATCCAGTGATTCCTAGCTCAGTGTGTCATCTCCATCCAGGGCCAAAAACCGAGGGACATCTCGGTTCCACCATCTCCCTCACCCCTATAACCAACCCATCCCCAATTCATGTCTACTTTACTTCCTAAAGATCTCTCCACTTATCTCTCCCCACCTCCACTGGTCCAGCTCTGGACCAAGCCTCCATGATTCTTACCTGGGCCACTGCCACTGCCTCCTAACTGATCTCCCCTCGTCACCATTTCTCCCTCTGAAATCTAGTCTTCCATGCTGAAAGCAGAATAATCTTTTGTGGTTTTTTTTTTTTTTAACCTTTTATTACAGGGAATTGTGTACAGACATAAAAACAGAGAAGTATATCATATACCACCTGAACCCACCACCCAGTCTAATCACATTAACCCATAATCACACCCACCCCATCCAAACCCTCATCCTTCCTGCCCGTGCATTATTATTTTGAGGAAATTTCCAGATATCTTATCATTTCAGTCATAAATATTACCACATGGATTTCTAAGATAAGGTCTCTGGAAAAAATATCACGGTAAAACTACTACCATATCTTAAAAAGATAGCAATAATTTCTTGATATCACCAAATATTCACACAATGTTCAAATTCTTAATAGTCTCATAAATGTCAAACATGGTGTTTTTAACAAGTGTTTTTTTGAAAAAAAAAAAAAAAACCCAGATCTAAATAAGACTGACACTTAACAATTGAGTGATATGAAGAATATAATTTTGAAAACACAAATTTGATTGTGTCATCCCTCAACTCTCCATCACTAGCTTAACATTCCTCAATAGCTTCTCAGTGCTTCAGCATAAAAATCCAAATCACTGAACATGTTCTGACTCTTGGTCACCTATCTGACCTTATCCTGTCTACCAGGCACAATGCTGCAGCCATAGGACATTTTCTTTTTCTTTTTAAATTATTATTATTATTATTATTGTGCGTATGTGTGTATGTGAGATGGACTTTTGCTCTTGTTGCCCAGGCTGGAGTGCAGTGGCGCAATCTCGGCTCACAGCAACCTCCGCCTCCCAGGTTCAAGCAATTCTCCTTCCTCAGCCTCCCAAGTAGCTGGGATTACAGGAGCCTACCACTACACTCGGTTAATTTTTTGTATTTTCAGTAGAGACGGGGTTCTGCCAAGTTGAGCAGGCTGGTCTCGAACTCCTGACCTCAGGTGATCTGCCCACTTTGGCCTCCCAAAGTGCTGGGATTACAGGTGTGGGCCACCGTGCCCGGCCTGTAGGACATTTTCTTAGATTCTGGAACATGCTGCAGTTGTTCCACCACAGGTCCTTTGCCCGTGCTGTTCTCTCTGCCTGGAAGGCTTCTTCTCTCATCTTCTGTGCCTAGGTAACTCCTGTTCTTCCTTAAATATTATATGCTCAGAGAAACTCTGCACCTTCAGATTAGATCGTGGAATTTATCTCAGTTTTAATTATGTTTTAATGTGAAGATTGATTAATATCTGCTAATTTTCTTCAATTATAAGCTACATGGGTACAAAGATTGTGTTAGCATTTGTTCATTGGTGTATGTTGCAGTACCAACTATACAATGCCCGGCACAACAATATTGATAGATACTTATTGGATAAATGATCAAACTACTTCTTTCAAACTTAGATGCCAATAGCAATTGAATCTTCCTGAGCACTGAACCACAAATTTAAATTAGATGAGGAACTGACAAGCTTATCTTAAAATGCATATGGAAATGCAATGGACTCAGGATAGCCAAAACAATCTTGAAAATGAATAACAATGTTGGACTCCTATTTCCTGACTTTGAAACTCACAAAGCTAAAGAAATCAGGACAGTGTGGTACCGGCACAAGGATAAGCATATGCTATCCTTCAGAATCAAAGATCATGATCTTCCTATAATATTGACCTCTAGAACCCAACTTCTAAGCACATGCTTATGAAAAATAAGTATGTGTTACTTGCATACATAGTCAATGCCTTTCCCAGCCCACCCCTCAGTTGGTTATTCCTTTGCTTTCCGTGCTTCACCCAAGCGTGGCAGCTGAGTTAGTATGGTAGACTGGATGAGTCTTCCCACTTCTTCACTTCCAGCATGACTATGAACTACACATTTCTGCCCTTTGTCATGGGACTTTGTAGTACATCCCACTAGAGTGAATGGTGTTTACTTCCCTGTCTCACTGGATTCTGGACTGGATCACTGACTTGCTTTAGCCAATGGAATGTGGCTAGAAGTGACAGTGTGCTGGTCCCAAGTCTATCCCTCCTGCCCTCCTATGATGCACCACAAAAGGAATATGTCTCCATAGCCACTGTCTGTTGCTGCCTTTTAGTCTGAACTCAGATCAAAGGAATGTGGAGCAGATCGGAATGAACCACAAGTCCGGCATGAACTAGCCATGCACAACCTAGATCAGCTAAACCACAACCAACCCCATAGATCCTTGAGCATGAAGATATATATCTGCTGTCAAACAAGCCTCTGAAATTCTGAGGTTTTGCTACTCAGCAAAAACTGCCTAATTCACATCGGAATATTAATTTATGAACACCAAGTATCAACACAGGTCAGGAAAATGAAAGCCATGCACACAGACAGCACAAGTATGATGACCATCGACAGCTACTCTTGCAGAATTCCCACCTCCTTGGTGCCAACTGGACCCGCACAACAATCCTGCAAGGAAGACACTGGGCCAGATTTATAGATGAAAAAATTGTAACTCACAGGATATGAAATAATGTGTCCAAGACAGTGTGCGGCAGAACTAAGATCCTGACCCAGGTGGTCTAAAAAACTCCAAGCCAGGCTTCTTCTGCATAAAACATAAAAGGGTCTTGCAGATGCTGTCCCATGAGTCTGTGATGCACCAACCTACCTCCACTCTTCAGAGCGTCTTCGCTCTGTCCCATTCCTTCAGAGCGTCTTCATGACAGGCTGCTGGGGTGGGGGGAAGGCCACTGGACCTAATTATCAAAAGTTCCAGTCCCAGATCCACCCCTATGGAGAGCTTCACCCTTGTCAGTGAGCCTCTTTAGCCCTCAGGTTTATGAAATGAGGTCACTAATCCCAGCCTGGCCTACGTCACTAGACCATCGTGAACCTCCGGGGAGACGGAGTGTGAAAGAGCTGTGTGAGGTGTGACACCAAAGTCAGTTCACATCCTGCTGCCTTGGCTCTGAACTCGCTCGAAGTAGGTTAGCAGCTACGTCTATGTCCGTACCTCACCCACGGCACTTGGAGACCCATTTGATGCTCTGAGAATGATTTTTTATTCAAACAGAGATTATTTCTTTCCAGTTAAGAAAGTAATCCAGGTTCATCAGAAAAAATATTAAGGCATAAAATAAAAATCAATTATTATCCCAATACCTGAAGATAAATACTGTTCCTATATTAAGGCCATTTCATCTCTGGGACTCGTTTGTTTTTTTTTTTTTGGTAAGGGTGAAGCAAAGAATACATTTCGATTACCATAATTTTCTTAGAAGCAAGGAACTACCCTGTGCCAGGGACTGCTCTTGCTGCCTAAAGACAGAGCAAAGAACAAAACTAAAGAAAGTTCATGATCTTAAAGGACTAATATTCATTCATTCATTCATTCATTCATTCATTATTTTTAAAATTCTATAATTATGGGTCACCCACTACGTACTAGGCACTGGATGATGATGATGATGATGACGATGACAGCTTCCTTGCCAGATCCTGTACTCTAACAGTATGACTTACTGAAAGTTGGCCCCTAGAACAAATGCCTCTGGGTTAGAATGCAGATTATGAATCTCTAATGAGTTATTTATCCTTTCATACTTTAGTTCTCTCTTTTTTTTGAGACAGAGTCTTGCTGTGTCACCCAGGCTGGAGTGCAGTGGTGCGATCTCTGCTCACTGCAACCTCCGTCTCCCAGGTTCAAGCGATTCTCCTGCCTCAGCCTCCCAAGTAGCTGGGATTACAGGCATGCGCCACCATGCCCAGCTAATTTTTTGTATTTTTGTAGGGACGGGGTTTCACCATGTTGGCCAGGATGATCTCGAACTCCTGACCTCAGGTGATCCACCCGCCTCGGCCTCCCAAAGTGCTGGGGTTTGGCATGAGCCACTGTGCCCGGCCTAGTTCTCTCATCTTTAAAATTGGATTTCCTGTTCTGTGGAAGCTATACTTGGAAAATTAGGGACTTAAAAGAAAACAGATGAAACTTATTTTTATGATGCTATTCCTCTTAAACTATCAGAAGCCCAACTTGTCTAGTCCGAGCTGAAATTCCACCTCTTCTAGGAAGCTTTCTCCAATGTTGCCAGCCCAACAATCTGTCCATTTCT